GAAACAGTCTAAATTTTGTATACACTACTGGTCAAAAGTATCTTCCTCTCTCGGATCTTGGTTTCTATAAGAGCTAAACGTTTGAAAATTGATCGACAGGTAGTTCGCAGAGTATGTAGATCGACGGTACCATCAGCGCCAAAATTGCTCAAGCTAGAACCAAGTTACAGTAGGTGTCGTCAAGCTCCGCTGTGAATTTTGTAACTCAATAATAGAAAGATCTTTTGAGTCAGCCAATGATCCATTTTTAACCCTACATTATGGCTATTTGCGGTATGAATTTTATCGAAATATGATAGAACGTCTACGTATGTCAATATTTCATTGAGAAAATCTTCTCGGATCGTTCGAAAGATTTATGGAAACACCGAAATCCTCATCCTCGAGATATCTAAGAGTTCTTCACGATAATTTTAAATCAAATTATAGTATACAAGGATGTTGGTGTGGGTCTTCCTTTCAATCACACTCACATTCACATCCGTGGCATCTCCTAGCGTAAGTGTTTTAGAATTACTCTTCTTTTAGTACTTCCAGTAGAGTGTAAATAAGTTCTAAAGGATAAGCGAACTAGAATACATTCTCAAATTAACTAATAATTCTTCTTCGAGAATATTCAAAGTCATTTCAAATTTTAATTCTCACCTGTTATTAAAAATACAGTTCTAATGATTACAACAAAACCGATAATTTGATGATCTAAATTGATGGTAAATTATGCTTGAAGTAGAAGAAAATGATATTTCGAGACCGATTCAATTAAGAAAAAAGTAATAAATTAAGAGCATCAGGAATCAGTTTGATTGAATAAATGTCATCTTTTATATGCACTCTACATCTAGATTATTTCAAATTTTGGAAAAGAACGATGGACTCAAGAATATCCCACATAGAAAAAAAACTTTGAAATTTCTCTGGACCGAATATATTATAATAATCAAAACAGAATGTGTACAGACATGGACTTTTAAATTGGTTTCATACGTTTAGTAGTAGGCATTGAAACGAGTTGGAAAGCATATAAATAAGTTGCAAATTCATCAAATGTTATCGATGGTAATGATTGATATTTTTTTCAGGTAAACTTCAATGTTATGAATCTTGTTTCTCGTCTATGGAACAATACATAAAGATTCAAACCAATATAAAATCGTTCTAGTAATAGTATCATCGAAACGTTTAATTGATATAATTTAAGAGTATTTCGATCGATTAATATCTATATCTTTAGCAACACATTTCTTTTGTGTTCTATTTGCTATGATGGCCGTGCTCTGATGATTTATATTTACTTGTCTTGTTCTCTTCCTTCCATTACAACATCATTTACGTATATTTCAATTCACCTCAATTGATGTGAATGAGTACGAAATTTCATTGTTCCTTTCTTTTATTAAATTGAATTTATATACAAGATAATAATTGTCAAGAAGAAAAATACTGGATTATTCTCTACACACATATTTAAAAAGAAAATTAATTTGATCGTTTACAAATACAAAATCAAGAGCGATGGAAAAATTTTAAATTGTCTTTATGAGATGATATAATAATGTTTAATTTTGAGGTCTGTCTGTAATACTAGTTGTAACAATACTATCCGACGGTGCAGTTTCATTTTGAGATGATGTAGCACCACCAACAGGTGGTGGACGATTAGGTGATGCTTCAATAGCAGCTTCAACTAATTCACTTGTTTTACCGGGTGTACTAATTTTGTGTTGATCAATAGCTGACGATGACATAGTTGTTTTCTCGAAGTATCGAATGTGTAAATGGTGTGTTAGTAACAATTGAATGATGAGAGAAAAAAAAATGTATTTTTTTTTCTTTGTTCTTCTTTTCTACAATCGTAATGCCAAAGAGTTCGATAGCATAATGGAAAAAAAATTGTTTCTCTTGATTTTTTTTCTACGTTTCTATAAATACTCATAATTACAATAATAGAATATCTTCCAATTTTTAACAACATGTGTTTGGTCACGTGCATAAAAAAAGAACGAACAAAACGAAGTTTGAAGAGTTCTGACGACTCTGTAAAGCATTGCAAATCTCTTTCGCCAAACATTACAGTTGAAACTATCATGTTATGCGATGATATTCCTGTGATGATGACTATACTAAGCACATCGATGTGCGAAACAAAACGTTTTGATCTGTGTAGACAATGAAAGCGTGTTCTATTTTCTTGCCGTAAAGACCTATGAATCATCAGCGGTGTTTTTTGAAATAGGAGATAACAATCAATAGATTTTTCTAATGCTTTACATGAAGCGTAGCACACATTGAATGTCGTTGTTCATCATAGACAGAAGCGAAAAAAGAAATTCTTCTAACAAAGGTAACGATATACATAGTTAAGTCTAGTGCAGTATAATATTTGAATTTCAACTGTTGGAAATCGGTGAACAGATGGTGAAGGATTTGTACTCAAGCGAGAAAAAGGATGATGGAATGTGCAAAATAGAGCATGTTGAAGTTTCGGTGGGAAATCTCCAGTATATCTGATCAAGTTTACCAGTGTTGTTTCCCAGCGATGGAACGAAATTATTTCTCTTAATTTTTGTTTTTAAAAAAGTTCTTTTTTAATAGTCTTTATACACTGATGATTTGTTTATATAACAAATATTATCAGTATCTGCAATGTCCTTATATCAACTATTTTCATCGAAAGATTCCCGATTGCCGGTTGTATATGTGTTCATCAGTCTTGTCTGGTTCTGAAAATATATAAAACACAACTAGAAATGTGCTACGAATAATCGAAGTATAATATCAAGACACTGGTTTATCGGTACCATCAATGAACGATCCATTGAATGAATTCTTATTTGTAATTATATGTTCAACAGTAGAACAAATTTGAAGAAAGGAAGTGTTAAATGATAGAAATGAAAAAAATTAACATATTAGATAGAACTCAGGATCTTGCGCTGAAATACTTGGCTGTAAAACATGTACGTTATTTTTCTTCATCATCAATTAAATGACAGTGAAAAGAAAAATAATAATCATGATTTATTTTGCCATTTGGTTGTTCTGTGCTCAGAAGAATTTGAAGAAGAAGAAGAAGAAGATCAGTAGATATGCAATATGCATTCACAACTTGATGATTTTTGATCGAAGCTATTAGTTATGTAAGCAGAAATCAGAATTTGTTTGTTTTCCATCAATATAATAACCATAGATATAACTGACGATCTTCCTAAATAAAGACTAAAAATAGTATCTTGTCTCTTTTTCAGTTCAAAAGTGAAAAAGGTGAAAGCAAACTATGGAAGTAATCTAGAACTTAATACAATATTGTTAAACACAAAGATCAATTTCATAACAATCATTTATGGACTGATTTCAACATTGAGAGAATCGATCCTTTAGTAGAAAACTGGCAGTTTAAATCTTAGTAGAAATTGTAACAAGTACAAGGTAGTGATGTTGAAAAATTTGCATTGTCTGTAAAGTATTAGCTTTCTTTTTCATCTATGCGGTATTTATGATAATCAAGAGTCGTATAATGATTAAATTTAAAACAATAAAATTATGCGTATGTACGAAGGCGGTACGGACAGATGAAGGATATGGGTGTGTGTACGAAGAATAACAACAAGGACACTTACACCCACATCCTGTTGTCTTTTGATCTTGTGTCTTTTTTCTATTTTCTTTTGATTTTCTTTGAAAGGAAAATACGTTGTTTGCTTCTCATTGTCAATCCGAACAGCATTAATGTAGAATACACAATAATTTTTGATATAAACAAGCACTTTTCGCTTGAGCTTGATTTCAAATGATGAAAGAGAATTTTCGATTGTTTTCGAATCTCTAATGATTCTATTCAATCAAATGGAATGATTAGAGGATAGTCATTGTGTTTATTTAATATCAGATTGGTAAGCCTCGATCTCTGATAAAATAAAAGCTGCATATAAATGAACAGATAAGGTTTTTAACTAGTCAACGATAATACACATCTGATCAATAACTAGATGGATGAGTAAATATAGAGGATGTTTTCAATGTTAATTTGATGAGTTCATGGATTGGATCGTCGCGTTTGCAAACAAATCCATGAATTGTTCTAAGTTGGTGAAGTCAATCAGAAAAATATGTTCTCTCTTCATTCGTCCTTTTGTTGTAGTCACTACCTGAAACTTTCATTTTTTCGATTTACATTTTTAATCGATTGTGGTAGTTAGTGTCAAAATAGAAATAATATAACGCCGCTTATTCGCTTATATTACTAGACAAGATAATGTCTTGAGATGCATTGACAAAAGCTGACAATAATGTGTCTCGCCATTTGCTGTCAAATATTGTCGATCTCGATCTCTGACATCTTCTGTAAACTGACTCGTTCAAGATCACAGTAGCTAGGAGAAAACCTGTACTAAGTTTGAACAGAGATTGACAAACAAAAGAATATATCACACACATTCCAACATACGAACACTATCCGAGTTATGCATTGTTCATCATCACATTGAAATGCACAGTCATTAGACCCAAAAAATATGTGCATTTATTCTAACTCAACATTTGGATTAAGTAGAATGTCTTGAAAGACTTCTGCTGAACAACATCGATTACTGAACCACTGTAAAATACAATATCTATTCTGACTAGAAGCAATATAGCACGTATTATATTGTTATGACGAGACTGTTTTTGTCTATCGTATGTTCAGCATGTAAAATAATAACAAGCTCCTAATCAATAGCATACTCTAATACAAGTTAGACGTTATTCGTTTCTTTTAACAATATGCAAGTACGTAGCTACCGGAACAACAAAGAATCGATTCAATGAAATGATAATATTACACTAATTATTGTCATTTATTTCTTGAACTAACTATAACTTAGACATATTTATTGTTCAAAATATAGAAGAGAAGGTTTCTATGAGAAAAATTTTTTTCTCACAAATTTCAATGTTTGTTGTAAAATCAAAGACTAGTCACAAGTTCATGATAAAATTATGATAAGTATGATTCTTGAATTTCATGCTTGTGGAATTACTTGATTATTATTCATTTTTTGACGTGACCATCGATTTATATAAATTTTAAAGATAACATGAATGAATTGTTGACGAAATCGTTCAGATACACATATATAAATATAAAATGGACTCTATATTAAACAAAAAAGAAAAGCAAAATATGAAGAAAAAAAAACTATTCAATAGATTTATTCATTACCGCAAAAAATGCATAATATAAACAGACGACTACAGAACCAGCTAGTTGTATTCGAGCAACAATAATTGGATCTTGCGTAATACTTGTATTAAAAGCAAGAGTATTGACAATAATAAATGGTACAATAGTAAAGAATTTTAAAACAACTTGTACTAAAACCATAACTGTCATTTGTTTGTCTAATTCACGTCGAACAAGTGGTACTGTTCGATAAGCTATATGTCGTACATTATAATAAGCTAAAAATCCAAATATACCTGTTATAAATACCGGTAAAATGCCAGTAAGTGTAAGAAGAAAAATATAAGTATGATATTGAAGAAAAATTTCATTTGTACTTGTACAAAATAACATTTCTGAATTAGGTAATTTAACATGATTATAAAATATCAAATATGGAATTCCATGTATCATCCAAAAGAACATGAATACTATTATTATCCGATGACTTAATTTAATATTACAAAATTGTTGCCAATAAGGACGAAAACAAGTTGCAAAATATTGATCAATTGTTGCCAAACAAATACATGTAAATGATAATAATGCACAAGTTTGAAAAATAAAATATCGAAATTTACAATAGAATAAAGATATTTGAGTCCAATCAATAGAAAAACCAGTAATTGTAATACGAGATAATAAACCAGTAAGTAATTGTCCAATATTAACAATAGACATGATAGTTAAATAGAATGCACATGAATTTTGTCGAAATGTTTGAAGACTAAGAAAAACAATGATATTAAGAAATCCACCAATGACACCAGTAATGAGAATTGATATACCACCATAAAGAATCACTTGTTGGGCAGCAAATATTTGAGAGGTTGTAATCGCTGATGATGACATGTTTCAAATTCAAAATCACGCTTTGGTCGACACAAAATAATTATATTCGAAGTAATAAAAAAAAATCCTGAAAAATAGTGTAGTTTTAATAATCATGTAATTTTAAAAAAATTACAAAAAAAGATATAAATGTACAAGTTCTTCAAAAAGTTATTTTGTAAAGGTATTAATACAAATAGCAATGAAATATCAAAGGTTTACTAGTTAGTTTAAATAAAAACAGCCTCATTATATGATCTTTCTTTTTTTGCCTACTTATGCTTAATAGAACTCTATTAGGAAGACATATTAGGTGTGCTTATAGGTTGCATTCTGAGAAGATAATTGAATATCACAACTTCAATTTCTCTTGAACACACAATGAAAATATAGATTCAGATTAACATGTATTAAATAGACTATTTAATATATATTGTTAATACAGAAGTAATAGTTTCTAATTATAAACGTTCTCATTTCAAAGAGAAAGTATAAGAAGATAAAAGATGATGATAATGAACATATATCTATTTTTAGTAATCCATAAAAAAAGATATCAAATATTATTTAGCACAGATCTTCTTCTGTTGTATGTTCGACAATATCACTTTCACTTTGAAACTGGTAAAATAAGAAGAACACGTTCATTCTGACGTGTGACATTTAAAAAAAAAAAAAGAATTTTCAACGGAAATCAAAACGTAAGAAATATGAGTATCTCATTATAGTCGTCTATTTATCTGATAGAATAGGAATATCTTTTTCTTTAAAATAGCTATAGATAGAAATAATCCGTAGATACTATGTATTTCGAGAATATTGACAGATTGGATGTTTAATAAAAGCGAGTTGTTATTTTTAGCTTCAATAATTCAAAAATATGTATCGAATCAAATTAATCTAATTGTAGTTCTACATACAAAATCAAAAACAAATCTTCTAAAACACAAACATAAAATAGTACTTCGAGAACAGAATTATTTATAGGCTACCTGCAAGCACTTTTATTCATTCAAGATAAACAGTATAGATTCAAGACATTTTATAAATATTGTTATAGATAGATGCTTATTCAAATAAAATTTTATTCAATTTTGTTTTTAATAACATAATATAACCAATGGTTAACATCTGCTAAATTTTATATGAATACAATTGTATTCTAAAAGTTGAATCGATATAATGGACACTTTTAATAGAAAAAAAAATAATTACTATATCTTCACATGTAATTATGATTCAAGACATTATGACTTTAATACATATTAAACATTCTGATTAACAATTTAATTTCCTTGAGAGTTGTATTCTCATGAATAAATGCATTAATTTATCATACTTGTCATGTTTTTCTCCTCTATTTTTCATAGTTTTAACTATCAAAGTCTCTGTTTCATTCAATTAGTCATCTTTATAAAGATTTGCTGTGTTCTTATTAAGTCCTTGTCGAATTGTACACAGATGAACAATATGCCTAAGAAAAAAAATTCAATTGTCATTTTAATCTTTCTTCTCTTTTAAACAGGGTATGTGGGTGTAGATTTAATGAGACTAAATGAAAAGAAGATCATACCATCTTCACTCATTCTCTATGCAAATCTTTCGTCTGGCTGGATTGACTCGACAAAGAACATGAGCAGGCAAAAGCAAGTTTTAATTAAGTGAATAAAGTTATGTTGCCTGATTAAGACTGATTTTATGATGTTATGAGTTTCAATCAGTTGATTTTCGGTTATTCATTCTTTATAGGCTTTTAGAAATGCGACGAAATTTTAATAAAATGCTAGTAGCAGTTCCACAATATCCGGAATATTGTGAAAAATTCATGATTCAATGATTTCGCAAAGCGCTTTCTCTGCATCTTACAGAATTTTATTTATCTTTAAGAGGCTCTTATCAAAAGTAAACTAAATACAACGTGAATCATACTCAAGTTCATGATCCATTTACTTTCGCTGTAATATCTTAAGAATTCAGCATAAATGTCCTTTGTAATTAAATTAATTTCAGTAAGATTTAAGCATTATCTTTTTTATTAATTATTGAAATGTACAATAGTTGAATTGCGATAGCTGAATATTACTAGAGAAAATAGTTCAAGATTGTGATCGAATTTGTCAAACCAGCCAATTCAAGTTTTGAACAACAGGGAGATCATATATAAATATTTTTGTCTTTCTTTTTCTTTTTGGTGATAATGATTTCTATTTGTTAATTAAAAATATGATTCAATAGTATAGTATGATGGAAGAATTTCTTATACAGATTAAGAAAGTAACCGGCAATCTTCATCCAAACTAAATAGTTACGACACATCAATCTAGGCGTACGGTTTAGTATGTTTACTTAAAATCAGTTAGTTTTACCTAATACTTATAAGAAAAAACGACACTAAAAAAAAATTAAAATTCATTTCTACAGATCATTTTGTGTATATACTGAAGAGTCTACTGTAACACAAAATGTTCGCGAATTTATATTGATTCTTCAATTAATCTTTGTTTTCATTTGTCAAAATTCAACTTTTTATTTATTGATTTATACACTAAAGTCCTATAGTCAAATTGATCAAGTTCATACATGAATAATTGGCGGGAGAATGCATCTGCTTGAAACGTTCTCATTCGGTTGTTTAGCATGCAGACTAAGGCCAACACTTGGACAATGCAAAAAGAAAAGAGGATTAGTTGATCTAAATTCATTGAGAGAAAATCACAACAATTAGATTTTCGATCTTTTCAAATTGATTCCGTGGACTCGGCTCTACATAGCTCATCCAATTGATGATCTTAATATCACGTTAAACTCTTTTTTGTAATCGTATTGTCTAATTTATTTACATCGTTGATAAACTATTGTTTAGTCTTTAATAAGTTGTGAAATAGTTTTGTACTTCAGTACTATATAACTGTCTTTTGATATTTTTTTTTTACAGATTCGTTTTTTATTATTTTTATTTTTACTTTCGAGAAAGGAGCATTATGAAAATAATAGAAGTGTTTTCATAATCGGCAACATATGTTCAACATCTATGGGCGACAAAGTATCTTGCAAGTTATTGTACAGTTCTCGATTGATATTTTGTAATGCAACAAAATGAGAGATGAGCATATTAAATATACGTAGAACTTCATTCGATCCATAATTCATTTCTAAATATTTCCACAACAATTCCGTATAGTAACTTTGTACTCGAAAAACAGCCATTCCATCATTTAGTATTGGCTCGTTGTCACTTTTCATAGTTGAAAAACCTTTCGTGCATAGAAGGATTACTAAAGAAAGTTGAATAATACGTTCATCAAACTGGCCTATCTTGGACAATGCACTGATAATCTTCTTGATTTTCAAGTATATGTCAGTGCCATGAAACTTTTGAATATCTTTCGCATCGCATGGTGCATCAGAATCGACTTCGATAAATTGTTCTGCTTCTAATTTATAACAAAGTGATGCATTCAAAATAGAAATCGGTATTAGATTGTATTTGATCAAAGTCATTTTATCATCAATATTGAGTTGAACAAAGTCAGATATTTGCTTAAAAAAACATAATAATCTTAACACTGTAACTGAGCCACAATTAACAAATTGTAACATAGACGTTGGACACATCGAAGGATTCCATGGTAAACCATTATCAGCCGCTTACAATTCAAATAAGAAAGAAAACTTACAGTACAAGTTCTACTGAATTGAAACGTGAAACACGATGGAATAGCTTAATATGTATACAAAGACCTTCTCAATATAGGCTATGACTCATGTTATGATCAAGGGAGCAACTTGTTGTTGATGACATGTATATGACAGTCTGCATGGAGAATAAATTTCTCGCTTTCTACATTAACACTAATTGATAACCGTATGAAAAAAAAGTGTGGGATTGCATAAGAAGCGAACTAGCTTTCTGAAAAAATTCTTCTTTTCTAATACAAAATATGAAGTTGTCTTCAACCTTTTTGATACTACAGTGTTCAGTTCATCCTGCGTCACAAAAACTTCGATGGACATCTCTTAAGAATTTTTCTATCAAAACTCCAGTGAACAAAGTTTTGCTGAAAATGTGGTATGCTTCTCATGGATTCGTCCAAATGTAAGGAACAAAACAAAAAGAAAGTATATTGGAACAACATTTACCTAGATCGATACGTTTTTGATAATAGAGTTGAATATTTTCAATATCTTGTTGTTCTTTGACAGTAAGAAGAGGTCGAGTTACGGGCACGGATAAAATGGATGAGGTCGAATCGATGGGAGAACGAGTTATACTTGTAGGCGACTTGACCATAAATACAACTAACAATCATATTTACTATTATGGACAAATACAGTACCTACCGGTGGTACAGATTGGTTACTATGCAAATTCAATGTGACTTGTCGATTTTCTTCAATTTTACGACGTTTAGCTGCTCGTTGTTCATCCTAGAGGATAAAGAAATATTTATGCGAATCATTTGTGATATACATTCAAACATACAGTCAAAAGTCGATCTCGTCGCATACCACTATTGAGACATTTGATTAGACGACATGCTGAGCAACGACGTTCTGACGCAAAACTGATTTTACAATTTTGATTACTTTCACATTTGAGCTTTTCCTATTCAAAAGAAAATCAAGAACAGTGCATTCATCCTTTCGTTTATCAAGATTTTCATGAAACTTGAATATTCAAACGATTATGATAAATAATACTTTTTCTCAACACCTACCGGATCTTTGTGTGCATTACGACGAAAGAATGCTTTACAACTTGCACAAGTAATTGCATCAAAATTATAACCATGTGCTATTCCACCACAGACGACACATGTCAATGTTCTTGAATTTGACTTTTTCCGTTTTACTAATGCTTGCATTTCAACCTATGAACAAAAATAGGTTTGACCTTTGAAAGCAAAATTAAATGTATGCTAACTACCGTTAAATGAGAAGTATCTTGAGTAGCATTGCTAAATTCGACTAGAATGGGTTCAACTTCTGATGTCGTACTACTGATTCGAATCTGTTTAAGAACATCTTCATCACCAGTAATAATCATAATTTGTCGACGCTTGGACGAAGTGGTCAATGGAAATTCTGTCGTTGTTGTCATTGTTTTAAGGAAAATAATACTTTTTTTTTTTTTCTAGAAATTATATTTGAAGAAACTAATGATTTTTTTTTCAATATTCATAGAAAGGAAAACTCTTTGATTATTTTGAAAATGTTTAGAAGTACAGAGTAGAGTATCTTTGACTTTCCTATTAGTGAAATTGTACGAATATATTCAATTGAGTTAACAAGACTTCAACGAAGCTGATTCAAGAATGAAATGAAGAATTTGCCTATGTCGAATCGGAAATTTTGATGTCAATCTCGGATTATATATGAACATACTAATCTTTAATTTACGATGATGAAACTTTATGATTGAGAAGTAACAATTAGAAAAAATATTTTTCATCAAATTTTGATTTAAAATATTCAATTTACTCATTTACTTGACATATCCGTTTTAACAAATCGTAACTTATGAGTTCAGAAGAAAAAGCATTGAATACGAAGAATACTTTGTATTCATTCACTTTTTGGATACTGCTATTTTTGATTATTCGACAGAACATATATGTACTTTAATTCTAAAGTCAAACATATGCGAAAAAAAAGACGATCAATACTACTTTAAATTCAGTATTAGCCTAGATATGTATTGAATTCAAAGCGTTAGACTACGTAATGAAGCAGTCAATTAACTTACATTCTTATACACTTTTTCAATATTTATATTGAGATAAATTGTTGAATTCGAATATTCAAGTTTGATGCATATCAATATCAATCTTAATCGAAGTATTAAGAAACGAGTAAATCAAAACAAAACAATATATCTACATCAAGTTTCACATGTAATTTTTTTCTGTTCGAAACATTGCACTGGAGCAGATTCACGATCTTTGATAATTCGTGTCGAGGCTATCTGCCGAGCTGATTTTTTTGCTTTCAATAGAAAATAACAAAAAAAAGCTTTTCAATTCAATGCTCTCCATTGGCCTTAAAGAAACGTCATGACATGTATATGTCAAGTTTCTGATCAGATGACTCAGATAACTATCATTCTCTCTGTTGAAGTAGAAAAAAATAACCAAAGCAACTGCTGCAATTAGGTACATTTAACTTGTCCAGTTGATTCTTGATGATACTATCACGTGTTTCGATTTTCCTGAAGTAGAAGATCAACTCTCGATAATAAAATGAATTTACTTTCTCGAAAAAACAATTTCAAATGCATAAAACAAACATGTAACCTACCGAGTTTTAGTAGGATATTAATGCGTCCTCGTGTGTTTTCTTTATTTTTATTTTATTATTCATGGAGAGTGGATGTAGCCATGTGTTCTTATAGTAATAGTTGGTGAGTATTGTTTACTACCTGTTGTAGAGCGATGAAGCAGCAGAATCGCAAGAGAAAAAGGACGAAGAAAACGTCAAATGCAAATATTTTCATCTTTCCTCTCATTTTTTACCTTGTAACAGAGGGTAAAGAATATGAAAAGAAACCTATGCACATTCACCAATCAAAAAAGCGACATGAAAATAATTATCATAACAGTTTACATTGTCACTGCTGTAGATAAGGAGGGCTTGAGAGAAAAGGCTCGATAATGCACAGTTTTCACTATCGATAACACTACGTAGAGTAAGCCTATACATTATTGCACGAATCTTTTCGAGCACACATTATAAGTGTATACGACGGAAAATAAAATGGTTACTAGAAATAATTAGCAGTTTCAATTTTCTTTATATTTTGTTTTAGATTTCATTTTTATCGTTTTCTATCATTAAAATGAAGCATGTAGTTTAAAAATATGTGGGTTTTACTATGAAAAATCAGGATACGTCAGATTTTAACCATACAAAACGCCTTTCAACTGTTTATTCATAAATTATGTCTAGTGATCTTTGGTCAATAAACTTGTCTTTCTGAAAAGTTAACAAATCGTTAGCTTATAAAATATTGCATTTGCATGATTCATCGTAACTATTCAATGAGTTTAAGTTAATAACCTATATATACTATCGACCAACTATACTTCTCAATATGTAGATTTATTAATATTGTTACTAGTGTGATGATTATTATTCTTTTCTTCATCACTGCTCTACAAAGAACGCTTTTATCGGAATGTTTGCGAGATTTATGTGTAAAACACAATTAATCTGTATATAATATAAATTAAGGAGTTCTGTAACACATGCTTCAGTTCACTTTAAAAAAGTTTCTGTATTATAAGAAGCCTAAAATAAAAGGATTACCGAAACAATCTCGAAAACTTTTCTCTTATAAAAGTGTCTTGAAACTCTTTTTCTTTTCCTTTCTAGCAATATCGAGTTTTTTTCCATGTTTACGACTTCCAACGTACTAATATGTCTGTGATGAAAGATATTATTCTTAATCTCTTACAATGAGTTTGAAAATAAGGTCAAAACAGGTATCTCAAATTTAATCTTCTTTCATAATAATCCAAAAAAAAGGCTTCTGTTTCGTGACTAAGTATATCATTGTCCGCAAAGAGATGCATATTTGTATTATAATATTTTAATGCTTCTTCGAATCGTGTTTAAAAACAAGATGATATACTGAGATTTTTGGGATTCTAGATTTCGGTATCATTGCTATCAGTTGCATTATTCAATTCGAGATGTAATTATGTGTTTATGCGGCTTAAGTTATTTATCTTGGTCAACTTCAGCTGTGCGAATAGATATTCAACAATACTACTTGAGTCTTCAATATATATCATGCAAATGTTTGTTAGTTATTGCTCAATATTGGTATGAGCGAAAGCTTTGGCAATATGTGTATAGATATAGGACCGGTTTTGAGATGCCAAATTTCGAACAATTAGTTGCATTCAACAAGATTGTCTTATATGCAATGCTATTGATAGTTTTTTGATGTTGTAGAATGTGTAAAAACTATGGAACAACAATATTCACTGCTAAAAGACAAAACATTACATTTCGAGTGTAAGAGTCAAAATATTCTTTCTGGAATCTACTATTACTCTCGCAATATGGTAACTGCTTCTTGATTAATTTTGCTTTAAAGATGAGTAATACAAGAAACACAAGACTTTCATCATTGATTTCCGCATATAATAGTAATAGGCTGATGATAAAAAGTCGATTCTTTCTTATAAATTTTTCTTGCGTAAATACTATGATGCTAATTTGTTTTTTTTTAAGTTAAAAAATAGGTCATTGTAAATCTAATCAAGTACTCAAATACTACATTCGATTGAGTTGATGAATATACGATTGTTATAAAAATTATTTATGTTTCGATATTTTTCAAAACATATCGACATAAAAAACTTGCACATCATAATTTATTCATTCATAGTCATAGATGTTTTAAAGTATTCGTGTTTGTTGGGATGGAGTATTGATATATTTTGATATTGTTAATCTAAAAATATAATACTCAATGCCAATATTGATGCCGATACTGCCTATCTTAATATTTTATATGATTTCGATTAATCTTTGATGCCATGAGCTCTGGAGCATCAATCGATGGTTTTGCCATTGATTATAAAAGATAAACACGACCCAAAGACTGTTAGAATTAATTCAAGTGAAAAAATGACTTGACTTACTCATTCCTGTTGATTGATTAAAAGCTTTAAAAAAGACCTTGAATTCGTTCGTTGTACTACTTTTAAAAGTACTGCCACTCTTCTAAATATATTAAAATCTAATGAGTAATTCTTCTTCTAAGAAGAACTATATCAATAATAAGTCAAAATTAACATCGTTAAAAGCAATGAAAATAATAATATTTCACAGATTGATACCAATATTTAATATTAGTACCGACAAGAAAAAAAACTTCCTAATACATATTAACAAAAATGTTGTCCACATTCACAAGCATTTATATTGATACATGTTCAACTTAATTGTTTCTCTTTCTGAAGAATATTTGAACAATATCATGAACATCAAGAAAGAACATACTTAATTTCTATAAATAATAAGCTCTTGATATTTCATATAATATTCGTATGTAAATCAAATACTAATATACTTCGCATGGCTTCTTCCTCAATTTTAACATTCAGACGCTCAATGATATGATCCATTTTGTTCTGTTTACAATAACTGATAATATTCATAGAAAGATAGTTTCCAAAGTAATTGGTATCCTTTTACTTAGAGTCAGCTTCATATTCCACTGATGTCTTGTAAAATTTCAAAATTGAAGAAGATTATGTTTGTCAAGTTGAATATATTATGCATGTGTGACTTCATTTGGTAACTATGAGATTTCTTTAAACTTTTCTTAGTCTAGTTGAGATTTACTCGTTGTTGTAATAGAAATTGGAACAGTGTTCAATAGTTAAGTGTGCTCCCTCTTAAACAATTATAAATAGTCATTTATTGTATTATATTTATTTTTTCTTCAACTTTTATTATGTTTGACTTGTTTCAAAACTCGAGAATTCATCTTGCATGATAAGATCAGTCAACCAATATTCTTATCATTTTTGTGATGTGTTTCAACGAAACCATAATTGAAGAAAACCACTAAGACCTGGGATTCTTTTAATTCTAGACGCAGAAGGCAAAGAAGATTGCAACAGTTCAATAAATTCGGATTTTCTCGACGAAGATACATCATCAGCATATTTCCATTTATCAGATATACAAGTAGTGTACAAAACGCGAATATTACTCATTGTGTCCACAAGTGCAAATATGTCTTTTTCAGATTTAGTACCAATTCGAAGTACTTCACATTGAGTGCCTAATTGTGAACGACCGAACTCACGATAGTTTTTTGTTCTAGAAGATGGATTGAAACCTTGTTGATGGCAAATTGTTAGCTGACGCAAGTCAAGCCGTCGAATCGATTTACTCGTATTTTTGACTAGAGGTATTAGCGATGAAGGCCAGAATGTAATTTCTAATGAATAGAGACAAGGTGTTGTATTAAGTAAGATTTGAAGATCATGATCGGCATTATCATCAGTCGAGCTAACTGATAATGATATCAACTGATCAAGATTCTTGACAACAGTCCAAAAGTGTTTGTCCAGTGGAAGA